GTTGATGCATCTTAGGATATCATATCATGTGTAGGCATTCATGTTCAAATTGATTAGGATGCATATTTAGGACACTGTTAAAGGCCTATGATAATCAAACTTTGTTAGATGAAGCATCTTGGGCACTCAAACGTCAACTTAAACGTAGGTCATCTTGACCTACCTTTTGAATATTATGGTAAAGCTTTTCTAAAACATTAAATCACATTAATTCAGATACTAAGAGGTTTAGAATCATCAAATCTTGTAAGTTGATGCATCTTGGGGCCTTAAACCATATTTATAAAAAAGTAGGTCATAGTGACCTACTTTTTAACTTTTGCAAGCATTTGTTTTCAAATTGTTCAAAGGACATATTTTGGATACTTTCAGACCTATGAACATCAAACTTTGTCAGTTGTTGCATCTTGGGTCCTCAGAAAATGTCAACCAAAAAGTAGGTCACAGAAACTTTTGAAATTTCATGGCTATATTTGAATATATAACAATTACTTGTTGGCTTAGAATCATCAAACTTTGTCAGTTGATGCATCTATGGTCTTTGGGGAACCTCAAATAGAAGGTCACAGTGACCTACTTTTGAATTTTATAGCTTTTTTTAAATATCTGAAATAATTATTGGTTTAGAATTGCAACCAGTAAGAAAGTCATGTCAATCTACTTTTAAAATTTTTGGTTATTTTTCAATATCAATGGCTATTTTTAGGTCACCTGCGTAAACTCAGGAGACCTATTGCTATCTGTTTTTTGTCCGCTGTTGTGTGTCGTCCATCATGTGTTAACATTTGTCGTCCATCGTGTGTTAACATTTGAACATTTTCAGCTTCTTCTCTGCAACCACTCAACCAATTTCAACCATTTTTAGGTCACCTGAGTAAACTCAGGTGACCTATTGCTATCCGTTTTCATCCGTCGTCATCCATTGTGCGTCGTGTGTTAACATTTGAACATTTTCAGCGTCTTCTCTGAAACCACTGAACCCATTTCAACCAAATTTGGCATATAGCACCTATGGCGGAAGGGGAACAAAAATTTTGAATTTCATGGTCCCTGCCCCCCTGGGGTCTGGGGGTTGGGCCAAAACCACTTAAATTAGTGCAATCTTTTAAAATCTTCTACTTTACTCCTGGACATCAAGCAGTCAAACTGTTGGCATGATTGTTATCAGCATTGGGTCCTCTACCAAAATTATGAATTTCATGGCCCCAGGATCAAGGGTTCTAGTGCTAGGGTGGGGCTCTATTGATTATATAGTGAAAATGCATTATTCCTTTGAAAATCTTCTTCTCTGCTCCTGGGTATCAAATAAATTAACTAAGTATATAGTTATGATGAGCAAGAGTGCCTCTACCAAAATTATGAATTTTAGGGCCCCAGGGTCAGGGGTTCTGGTGTTAGGGTGGGGCTCTATTGATTATATAGTGAAAATGCATTAATTCTTTGAAAATCTTCTTCTCTGCTTCTGGGTGTTAAGTAAACTAACTAAGTACATAGTTATGATGAGCAAGAGTGCCTCTTCTAAAATTGTGAATTTTAGGGCCCCAGGGTCAGGGGTTCTGGTGTTAGGGCAGGGCTTTATTGATTATATTGTGAAAAATGCATTAATTCTTTGAAAATCTTTTTCTGTGCTCCTAGGTATTAAATAAACTAAGTACATAGTTATGATGAGCAAGAATACCTCTACCAAAATTGTGAATTTCAGGGCCCCAGGGTCAGGGGTTCTGGTGTTTGGCGGGGCTCTATAATGATTATATAGTGAAAATACCTTAATTCTTTAGGTGGGTACAGTCCACTAATTGTTTTCCCATAGGCGACAATGTTAACGTTTCTTCTCATAGCGATGTCCCTAATTTTCGTTCAGAAGTGAGTGACCCCTCAAATCAAAGCACATCAACTTGTCTTTCCTTGGTTAAAATCTCGAGGTGGCATGTCAGATTCGTTTCCCGGCAAAATGCGTCTGTCTGCGGGGACCTCTAAAAATGAAAGTGAAAGTAGGGGAATTTCAGAATTATCACTGGCGTTATAATACACAAAATAATTCAGCTGATCTTCTTGATAAATTACATTTTCCAAGCTTTTTTGGTAGGAAAGATACTCCTTATCAACAAGTGTGAGGCTCAATTCAGTATATCTGCCCAATTTTTTTTATGCAAGTCTGCAAATTAAGGAACTTGTAATTTTTTCTGCACTACTTTCTTCTCCTACCGATTCTAAAAATAATTAGTGGGATGTACCCAGGTATCTTGGGTTTTTGGAGAACGTCGACCAAAAAGTAGTTCACCGTGACCTTCTTTTGACATTTGATGGCTATATTTAATTTTCTTTGGTACTTACTGGCTTAGAATCATCAAGCTTTGTCAGATGATGTATCTTGGGTTTCTGGTAGGGATGTCAAAATATTAATTTTCCTTAGTCGAACATTCGATTGCATTATTCGAACGATAGTCGACTATTTGGAGCATTTTTTTTATAGCACAGTGTTTCTGAAAGCTTATTGATT